AGAATTCCTCCATGCCATTCATTTAGGATTTCGTGTAATTCGATCGGAATTTCACTGAAATTTCATGTAATTCGAGAGGAAGTAAAATTTAATGTGAATTCTAAGGAAATTCCGCAAAAATTTCACATTTAATTCCTTTTTCAGGATAACATAATTCTACCAAAATTCCTCGAAATTTTAATAAATTATGGAATTCTGAGAGATTTTTGGGGATTCCATAGGATTTTTGGGATTTTAAAAGGAAATATTTTTTAGGAATGTTAGTGATTTTATGAGATTTTGCAGGATTTTTTTTGGTTTTAATGAAATTTTGTTAGATTTTGTAGGATTTTATGCAATTTCAAGAGATTTTGTCGGATTTTGTTGAATTTTTAAGGATTTCAAAGATTTTCAAGGATTTTGAGTAGATCTTATGAGATATTCTGGGATTTTGATCAACTTGTACATGGATTTTGACCAGTTAACCACCCCTCAAGAATTAGTTATAGAAAATGAAAATAAAAAAACAAAGAAATATATCACAAATGAATCAAAATTGAATTAAAAATAATAGTGAAAGGTTGGAAGAAAAAAACACTTCAATCAATCCAAAACAATTTTCCATGAGTTACCCATAGATCAACAATGGACTTTACCCATTAATATTAATTCAAAACTATTGGTCCTTCAAAAAAATCCGCAACAGTTATTACTGAATCAAAATCTAATTATTTAGTAATTGAAACCACATCATTTCTACTGCATGTAAACTTTTTGCCAAAAAAAAAAAATGTATTTTAAATTATTTCAATGTGTTGTTGATTTAGTTCATAAGGCTGGTATATTAATAAAGTTATATTAATTTTTGCATGTTGATTTTTGTGCCTCTATAGATTTTTCCTATTTCAATTGGTCGCTGTGGAATTTCTTAGTAGAAAATTGAATGTTTTAGTGCAATAACAGTAAAAAAAATACCAGCAAAAGTCTATAATTAATTAAGTACAAATAAAGAAGGCAATAAAACTTAATTCGCCTCTTTATAAGCTTATAAAAGATATATTAACCTTGCTTGCCGGTTTTTACGAGGATACGTTTTACATCACCGCCGGACTGTGCTGGACAAAAAGTAAAAGTTGTAAAACTAAAAAGAGAATTATTGCAGAAATGCATGCAAAACTGGTATTATGATGTTATTAACTCGAAATGCAACGGTGAACCTGAAAGAACTGGCGCGCTAGATGATATCATTTCAAATAATGTTGTTTTGATGATGTATGAGGTAACTATGATCAAGGAAAGAGGTATTTAGCAGAAAAGGAATTTGATTTTCAAACAAAATTAGTAATTTTGATTAATGATCCAACGAAGTGTCTAAAGGGAACTAAAAATATCAGTGAAAGCTCTTGCCACTGATTTGGAACTTGTTACCGCAAAATTAATCACAAGTAAAAAGTAAAAATCACAAAGTTTAAGTTGAAAAGTATATAATATTTATGTGGATATAGGAAGGATTGAAATTTAATATTTGGAAAAAAACACTTTATAAAATCCTGCTATGAAAAGTGATATGATGATAAATGTTAAGAAAGTAAAGGATTTGTGGCTATTTGCATATTAATTGATTGTTCTTAAAAACAGATAAATAGTAATCACTCACATTATGTGAAAAGATAAAAGCCAATCCTATACGAATTTCACTTTATACGCCTAGGAATGTAGGTATCTAATTTGATTTATTATGTAGTAAATTTGTTGTTTTCAATTAAATTTTATATATTTTGAAGTTAATTTCAATAAACTTTTATTAGACAATTTACTTACACTTCAAAAGTAATTTTTGTCTGGATTAGGTAAATTTGGTTTAGGCTTTTTCATCGTCTGGAAAACAAGTAAATTTAATTATTGGCTCTACGAGAAAGCGGGCTTAAAGAATATTTGGAGCTCAATTTTATTGGAAAAACACTCGTTCTGAAAGTGAAAAACCTTCTAGAGAAGATGATAACAGCAACAAAATGTAATTACATTAATTACTTTTTTGTGCTTTATTATCCTTTAATTTGAATGAAATATATAAATTTAAACTAACAGAAATCGTGATTGACCACGTTTATCTCGGGCCGTTCGATCGGATCTAATGCATCCGATAGAAACTCCATCCGCTTGAAAACAGCGAGATAAACGATGACGCCTGATTTTGTATCGGATGGAAGTCTTTAAATCAATCCTGTTTTTCAATCGGATCGGACTTTCTAATCCGGATCGAAATTTTTCCTTTTACGACAGCAACGCGATTCAAATGAAACTTGGCAAGCTTGTCTAACCTCACTTTTTTAGTGTTATTAACTTGTTTTGTTATGAAGTAAAGTTTTGAAAATATAAGTTTTTTTCCTTTAAATGGATCTTCTTTCCTTGTAAAAATGAGAAACTGCTTTCCCCTTTTCCCTCTCATGGGAGTTTGCCGCAAATTTATTAAAAAATAACATTTTTTTGCTTTGTTTAATTCGGCCGGTCTCTTTCTATTTGAATCCGTTAAGCAAAAAAGGATTTATCGATCGAATAATTCATTTTATGAGAGAAACGGAGATTCACTGGATGGGATCAAGTCGATCGGATCCGGATTTTACGAGATAAACGTACTCATTGATGATTTACAAGAGGAAGGATTTATTCCAGATTGGGTCCTTCAGAACCGTGACATTTGATTTTCTCTGGTCGATTTTTCTTTGCTCCATATAAGGTCGACGCACGTATACACTATAAATGAGAACCCCGATGATATTGCCAAACAAAGAGAACCCAAGCGAACCAATGAACCACTCTCCGAATGGTATGTCGATGACACATCGGCGCATAATTTTTCGATTTTGCTGAAAAATGTTTAAAAGAACCTGATGTGATTTGGCTGCGTACAAAACCAAAATCACACATTCACATTATTGAGGTGGCATCTTCAAGATTCATTTAGCAATATTATATTATAGTCAAAGGTTAAGCTGTGGTCAAAGAGTGTTATATTAACTTTACTGAATTTCAAGTTCAATGACATGTTTTTCTCATAATGTAATGAATCATTTGGAACAGATCACCGATTCATGTCGATTTTTATGTTATTTTTCAAGTTTTTAAGGTCAAGGATTCTTGACCTGATATTAATTTAGACCTACCTATGGTTAAAACCATGCAGATTTGTAACAAAAGGGTAGAGAATTCAAGAATTGTGTTCCAGAGGGAAAATTTCATCAAAATGAGAAGTTTGAATCTGGGACAACAAAACGCGTCCGTCTGAGAACATCGAAAGGATAAATCCGTTAAAATTCAGGGCTTCGTTTCTAATTCAGGACGCTTGTCAAAACTAGTGCCATCTAATACTATCTGAATATTCTAAATGATGGACAGGACACAATAAGGACAGCAAATATGCAAAATTGCCTTATTTTGCTGTGATTCCTTTTAATTCACATAGCTAGGATTTAACATAAGTGCTGCTTATGATAGTTGGAAATATCGAAGATTCATTTACTATATCTAAAATTTCTAGGGTACTATTGCAGTGGTAAAACAGCAGTGTATTGCTCTTATTTTTCCCATTTTTTTCATATATTTGAATCAAGACTATCATGCAATCATTGCAAGGTGCAATAGGTATAATTTTACATTCTTACATAGAAAAAAGTTGAGCTTTCTATAATTATTCACAATTACACGTCAATTCGCGGACTTCCTGTTGGCAAGTTAAAACACATTTTATGTAAACCAGCCTTTCGTTCTTCAAGTGATTTTTTTTTATAGTTGTTGAACAAACTGAAAATTATCTTTATTTGAGAGTGTATTGTTGGTATTGTCGTTTTTTTTTTGATGCCCACAAGATTGCTGGACTTATACTCAAATTGGATTGGATAATAGAGTTGCTATTGCTGAAAAATTTCGTCATAGAAAATTCATTCTGAGCAAAACCTTCAAGTTTTATATGTATCAGTTATTTGTTCATCTAATGGTTTTTTGGTAGATACCTATTTTGTATTTAATATTTCAAAATTCTACAGATAGTGATTTAGGTGGCTCAGGCCCATGTTCTGCTGCTTGTCTTTTATCTTAGATTTGACGAATTTCAATTTTCACCAGCAAATTTTGAGACTTTTTAGAGAGTTCTTTTTGATAAACATTTACGTGAGACTGTAGAGCTGTGAGGACAGTGAAGTCGTGAAGTTATTTGTGAAGTTAAGACGAAAAGTGAACTTAAGTGACGTAAAATGAGTGGTACTCCAACAGGAACACGCAAGTACTCAAGTACTAGAAACGCAGATAATACACAGGTAGAAATTGTTGATTTAAATGAGCTTTATCGGAATATAATGATAGAAAACAAACGTTCAGATGAAATGATCGAAAGATTGGCAGATATTTACAGCCAGTGGGGCAGCACCTGCACATCCAGCTGATCATCCCATAGCCCCCGAACACTCACAAGGTCTTTCTGTGCTCCCAGAAATTTTGAGACACATTGGAAATTTTGATAGAACTCCTTTTTGTGGTTGGACACATTGAATAGTGCGCAAACCCTACACCAAATTTCAGACAGCTACATGCTGGAAACAGCAAGAACGAGGTTAGAAGAAGGAGCTGAATATTGGTATTTTGAAGCGTGATGAGATTCTGACATGGAAATATTTTGTAGACATGTTAAATGCTACATTTTCGCTTAAAGAAAACTTGGCAGTGAAATTTAGGAAAATGGAAAGCAGAGTTCAGGACAAAAATGGAAGTTTAAATTAATATTTCCATGAGAAAGTGAAGTTATGTACGGATTTAGGCTTAGAAATAGATGAATAATCAAAGAGCAAGTGCTTATTGGGTTACATTCTTGATCAATGTGCGATGCAATGTGGGCGAAAAGGCATTATAGCTCAGATGAATTATTTTAAGACTTGCACAGCTACGCAAACATTGAAAGTAGGCGTCAGCAGCGTTTTACTGGCATCCATAGAGGTAACTTCGAGAGAATTAAATTGAACAAGGAAAACATGAATAATTCTCAGGAAACAAGTGAGAAGCAGAACCAGGCACCACAGACATTGAGTAATGAGGTGAGGATGGTAAAACCAAGACACAGGTAACTAGAAAGAGAGTGATCAAAACCAAAAGAAACCACAGAAATCTTTGCTGTAGAAGAAGAAGGAAAGTTGCCCCAAACTACTGTCGTTATTGAGGAAGGAAAAATACCCGACAAAATAGAAGAAATTCCATTCTATACCGTAAAAGAACTTCCAGAAAAACTCTGTATATCTACAATTACAGATGAAGGCGTTAAAAAGAATGTAACTCAAACAAAAAGAGTTATTGAAGCTAGAAAGTCAGGAAATAAAGAAGAAGTAACTGAAATTGTAACTACTGAAGTTGAAGGTAAAATGCCTGAAACATCAATAACTGTCCGAGAAATGCCAAGAAGCACAGATAGTGATGTAGAAGAACTATCATTCATTGTAGAAGAACTTCCAGTAGAGATACAAGAAACTACTATAAATTACAGAGGAGTGCAGAAGAAAAGGGTCGAAAAGAAAAGGACTACTCGTAGAGAAAAAGCTGAAAAACAAGAAGTCACTCAAATTGTTAATGTAAAAGAAGACGGCAAACCTAGTAAAACAACTGTATTAGTTCATGAAGAAGCCCTACCTGTAGAAGAAAAACCCATAACAGAAGAATATCCAGAAGAAGTTCAAGAAATTGAAGTATTTGACAAAGGAGTTGTTAAAAAACAGACTTTAAGAAAACGCACGATAAGAAAACGCAAAGGGCAGCAAAGACGAAACAACTGAAATAGTTACTTTAGAGAAAGTGGGTAAAAAACCTGAAATTTCGGTTACAGTAACTGAACAAGAAGGGTAGGAGACAAAGAAGAAACTACCTATATATAGTAACAATTGAAGAAGAAGGTAAAGCTCCACAAACAACTGTTGAAGTAGAGCAGAAAGAAGTTCCTAAGGCAGTACTTGAACAGCCTATTTATGTCGTAGAAGAGCTGCCAGAACAAATATTCGAATCTGAGATTATAGAAGGAGGAAAACGCAAAAAGAAAATACAGAAAAACCGCATTATCAAATCAACAAGAGGCGATAAACAGGAAATAACAACCACAGAAGTTGAAGGTAAAGAACCCACTACAACGGCAACAAGTGTAGAAAAACTAGTTCAAGAGACTACCATTCAACGGGAATATATTGTTGAAGAATTGCCCGTTGAAACCCAAGAAGAAACTGTCATTGATTAGGGACAAGGTGTTTTGAAAAAGAGAATTCTAAAGAAACGAACTTTGAAAAAGACAAAAGATGACAATGAAAAAATCACAGAGATTGTTAGTATTGAAGAGGAAGGTAGATATCCAGAAGTCACTGTCAATGTTCTAGAACAAGCTGTTGAAGAGATTCCTGAGAAAACATATGTGGAGGAATTACCCGAAGAAGTTCATGAGGCTACAATTGTGGAAAAGGGAATAAGTACTAAGCAAGTAACCAAGAATTGTACTATTAAAAAGCATAAAGGTGGGAAAAATGAATTTATTGAAATTGTTACTGTTACTGTTAAAGAAGAAGGAAAGAAGCCTGAAACTGTTGTAATAGTTATTGAAGAAAAAATAAAGCCCAAGAAAAAGGTTATTACTGGAAAAGTGGTCGAAATTCCTTGGACTGAGCAAGTCCAGTTGAAGAGAACTCTTAAAAAGAAGTTACCTGATAAGGAAGAAGTTGAAAAGGTTGTGCTTAAACCAGTGAAAAAAGAAGAAACTATTCAGAAATTGCCTGAACAAATCCAAGAGACTGTGGTTATTGAAAACGGAATAGCGTAAAAGCAAATTACGAAAAAGAGAGTTATTGAAAAGAGACGATGCAGTAGAGAAGAAACCACAAAAATTTGGACAGTTCAAGAAGAAGGCAAAGCTCCCGAGACTACCATTGAAGTAGAAGAAAGAAAAGTTGTTGAAGATCAGCCATTATTCATCGTTGACGAACTGCCTGAGCAGGTATTCGAAACTACTGTTGTAGAGCGAGCTTCAAAAGAAACGAGTCATCGAGCGAGTCATCCAAACCAGAAAAGGAGATTGAAATTACTGAGATTCTAACTACCGAAGAAGAAGATAAACGACCAGAAATCACAGTGACAGTTGAATAAGTTGAAGCACCAAAAGGAAGTATTCCAGAAATTACGGAAGAACTACCAGTTCAAATTCAAAAAAATGTAGTTGTAAAAGATGGGATTCTTGGGAAAAAAATCCAAAAGAAGAAAACATTAAAGAATAAGAAAGACGGAAAAGAACAAATTACTGAAATTTTAGTTGCTGAAGAAGAAGGTAAAAAACTTGAAACTTCAGTTATTATTCATGAAAGAGAAATTCCATTTGAAGAGGAAGATATCTAACCCACAGTTATCATTGAAACTCCTGAGGTGCAAGAGACAACAGTAGTGGATGAAGGTGTCACTAAGAAGAAAAAAGTACCGAAACGGGTCATAAAAAAACGCAAAGATAGTAATGATGAAACCACTGAAATTCTAACAGTTGAAGAAGAAGGCAAAAAACCTGAAACTTCGGTGGTAGTAACAGAAGAAACTGTTCCAGAAGAAAAGCCCAAGAAAAAGAAGATTCTACCCGAGAAAAAAGAAGTTTCTTGGACTGAACAAGTACAATTGAAGAAAACTCCTAAGAAACCAAAATTGAAAAAGTTAGATTTTTGAAAAGTTGACCTTAAGCATGCATGTTATTCAACAGTTACCTGAAAAGATTCAAGAAACTACTGTTGTTGACAAAGGAGTGTCTCGAAAGAAAATTATCAAAAAGAGAGTTATTAAAAAAAGACGTGGCAGTAAAGAAGTAACTACCCAAATTTTGACGGTTGAAGAAGAAGGCAAAGCTCCTAAGACAACAAATAAGAATAAAACACTGCAACAAAATTGCTCCAAAATCCTGATAAAACTAATAAAGAAAAACCTAAAAAGGGCATGAAAAGTGTCTTGGAAGGAGTATCACTTGCAAGAAACAGTTCTGAAAATAAAACTATAAAAAGGACTACTAGAGAATCTAATGATAAGACTAAATCGGAAATGTTAGAAACAAAATGTCTCGAAGACCAAGTTAATAATTAAAAAATTGAACCTTAGATGTTGGAAAAAGAAAAAAACCAAACTCAATTTTTGTCTAAAGCAAGTGCCACAGTCAAGGATAATGATGAGGAGTCTGAAGGCGAGGACAATAAAGAAATAATTGTTGGAGCAAAGAAGCCAGAATTTTCAATAGTAAAAGATAATAATTCAGGCAATAATTAAACTGCAGAGCTAAAAACAGAAAAATTAGAAGTTTTAAAAAAGGAAGATTTACTGAGAAACATTGATAAGCAAAAACCATCTAAAACTGAAATAATTAATTTGGAACATGAATTAGCAAAAGATGCTGAGACTGAGAAGCTATCATTAAAATCTAAGCCATCTTGATTAAAAGGCAGTCGGAATTCGGAATGAAATTCAATATTATGAAGAAAAATTAACAAAATGGGTTATTACACAAAAAAAGATAATAATGGACTTATTGGGTGGTATGAATAAAAACCAGCGTTGTTACAAGCAAAATTTCAATTGTACTTTTTCTAATATCATAATTGTACTATTTTTGACCAAATTGTACATTTCTTAGGTTTCAAATCTTATATACACTTTGTTTCACGAGGGTTTATACTTTTGACATAATTTGCCTTCTTTGTCATGTGAAAAGTATACCTAAGCCTTCGTGAAACGAACTTCACTTTCCTGCTTTTATTTTTATTATTTTAATGTGAACGGAGATGGCCGATGGGCGCGGTACTAAATTAATAATTATAAATTTAGTGCTAATACTGCTAATTATCAATTTTTGAAAGATAGTAATTTTCTTGGAGTCTAAAATCAATGAACGGTTCGGCTGCTACCCTCTGAGTACTCCCGAGCTACTTTGGAGTACTCCGGCTACAGTTTGGCCCGTTCGACTTAAAAGAAATTGGCGCTCTCGAGCTGCTCTTATTTCCTCGTCTTCTACCCCCGAAGTATCTACCATTTGATGGTTGCGTCACGCTCCGGGCAAAACGCATGTTGAGTATAACGGGTGTGAAGTGTTCTAGGAGCTTCGCACTTTGCACCCGAAAGCGGATATGGTTGGTGCTTCGGGACGGGGACGAGGAAAATAGGAACAGTATAAAATCTATAACACAAGATGCACCAAAAATCAAAGGTTCTCCGCCACATAGAAATGAACCAAATTCAATGAAAAAAGACATTTTAGTTGAATGCGAAAAATCTACAGAAGATATACCAAAGAAGCCAGATTCAATGAAAAGAAATATTGCAGATGAAAGTAAAAAATCTGCAAAGGAAGATGTACAAGAAAGTCATCTAAAGCATCTTCATCTGACGGAAAAGAACCAACGTCAATGAGAAAAGACATTGTAGTAGAAAGTAAAAGATCTACAAAATAAGACTTACCTAAAAAGTTATGCAAAGCTTCTTTGCCATGCAGAAAACAACCAACTTTAACAAATACAGATGAAAGAGAAAAATCTACAACAGGAGATGTTCAAAACAAGCTATCCAAAGCTTCTTCACCATGCAGAAAAGAAGCCAGTCTAATGAAAAAAGGACGTAGTAGATGAAAGCAAAAAATCTACAAAACAAGATTCACCAAAATTCGCCTTGCAGAAGAGAATCAACCTCCAACAAATAAGAAGAAAACCCAAAACAGCGAAAATCCGCAGGGAAAAAAGAAAAATCCGAACAAATTATCTCAAGACCAAGTCGGAAAACTAAAGAAATTGCAGCTGTTTACATGAAAATTTTAAGCCACAAACTTGTAAATGATGTCACTATAGATGACGAAAATGGCTCTATAGACAGCTTTCCTAAATTGCCAAACGTCAAGAAAACTGAACAACGCGAAATCCAGCTCAATGCTCAAGCCAAAACCTGCAAAGAAGAAGGCAAATTATTAATTGAAGCACATGTTGTGTTACACCTACAAAAACTAAACCCAGCAGCTTAGATATTACACTGGCCTAGTTGAGAAAAGTCAAGAGTCTTATAAAATTATCCCAAACACGTATTTTTGTGACAACTATAATCGATAATGAAAAATCACATAAAAAAGGAAATCCTAGAACAACCAAAAACAAATCTACAAAAACTCCAATAGAAGAACAAGCTTCAAAAATGTCATTGGGTAAACGCAAATTAAATCCAAGTTAAGAAAAGAGTTAATGAAATTGAGATGTGAGAGGTATCAGTTAAATCTTATATGTAACAAAGTAAACAAAGTACCACAAGTATGCTAGTTGCTAACACCTACTCTGTACTTGAATGTAAATCTGTTGAGTTTGTAAATAAATAAATTAATAGCTGGTTAAGATGATTCAGGCTGCAAGCCAACAATTCGCAAATCTGAGGTTCAAAAGAATTTGCAACAAGAAAGAGCTTTGAAAAACTTGATGATAACAACACTTACTGAACAGTGATGCTTCAGACGAATCATTTCATATTGCGGAGGAATATCTACTAAATACTAGAAGAAAGTCACTAGAAATCGCAATAGAGCTCTGGCGAGTATTTTGGGGAAAAATGTCGATATTATACTTGAAGCAGCAAGGGTTTTAGAAAACGAAAAGGAGGCGGAATTGCAGAAAATCGATGACGATGATGATGATGGTAAGCCTTTACAAGAACTATCTATGAAAGATAACTTGTCTCAACCCATTAAAAAGTCTGTGGCCAAAGAACCAATAGAAAATCTAAAGCCTACAAGCAAAGATGACAAAAACAGTGATTCTGATGAATCCACCACTTCAGACATGAACCTGAAGAGCCTACAAATAAAGCAAAGAAACAAGAAACTTTCTAAAACCAAAAATTCAAAATCGTCTGTAAAATCAGCTGCCAGTTTTAGCGATTCAGATGAAGAACCTTCAGCAAAATTAATCCCAAAGAATTTCAATGAAAGGAAACCTGACAAACCCAGATAAAAAAAAAACAGCCGACAAAGCCCTAAGTGAAGTTATAATTGAACCGAAACCGAAATGAGAATGTACCAGAAGACCATCTTACTATTTGGCAATGTTGTCAAGTAGTGACGGAGATGATGAACCGTACTTTCATGGTTTCAAAGAAGAAGTGGCAAAGCCTGACGTTATGGTGCAAGCTGTGGTGCCTTCCTTGGACTTTTCGAGCAACGATATGGGCAGAAAAGGTAGAGTGAACATGTCCAATGAGCAAATAGAAAAATGGCTGAAAGAGGCATCAGTAACAGTTAAATTGTTACAATATCACTCTAACTTACTTTTATAATAATATGAAGTTTTCAGCAAACTAACTCCCTTTTGTAAACATCTTTTTTCTCAAACAAAATACTTATTCTAAATTTCTATTTGTGGTAATTTAATCCATCCAATAACTGGAAGTTGATGTGATTCTTCACAGACTGGTGAGTCTGATGACATTTTCACTATTCAATTCCATTTCCCAATACCTACTTATTTTCTTCTTGTGAGATTTGAGAATCTGGGCCCATGACTTTTTGCTGGGGATTGTTTCATAATAGGCCTATAAGAATTTGTTGTTCAACAGAGTGAAAGTAACCAAAAAAAAAGTTACAACCAACATAGGAATGGAAATTTCTTAGTGTCAAATATTGATCTTATGATTTTATAACATCTTCAGATTTATAATGGATATACCTGCAAAAAGGTCCGTTCTATATCGAAACCGCGATGACTCGTCGTTCCAAGGTTCGCCTCCTGCTCCTGCTGCAAAAGCCACAGGTTGATCCTGACGACCTTAACGCGCGCATTGTGTGCACCGAATCCGACCAAAAACGCGACGTTTTCATTCAATCAACTTTCTCGTTTCTTCGCGGCAAGTGCGAGTATCTACGCTCCTGCTATAGAGTGCCGTGTACACGACGAAGAGTGCGTTTCAGGATTTTCAGGAACTTTTTCAGGATCTGTGACCCGATCAGTGTTTTGTTTTATTGGACAATTATCTTGTTGTTTTAAGTAAGTAACCGAAAATGTGTTTGTTGATTGGTTTTTTTTGAATCATCATGGTATAATCTGCAATAGTTATTAGGTATTACACTAAAAATAAGCTTTGAATTTTCAAATTTAGCTACAATGAAATTCTCACAAATACTGCAAACAAAGAAATTCTAAAAATGTTTTCATTTTCCTCAACTCCAAAGAATTGCGTCTTTAAATTCAACATATATTTTCAATTTCTGTAAGTTTGCAAACTTATATTAGGTAGGTAGATACCCATTGTAGTAGTTTTGAATCAAAAAGTTATTTCATGATAAGAAATTCTCCTCCAAAAGAAAAAAATAAAGTCATACCTATGTTATACATTAAAGTTTTTGATGAAAAATTAATAGAGATTAAATCATGTTAAGGAATTTAAGTGTTTATTTTTCCTGTGCTAAAATTAAATTACCCCTTGTTCTATTTTGATGATCCGTTTATAATATTAAAAAAAAAAATCGCGTTAAGGAATTTAGGGTGAATTTTTTGAGTCTGATAAACCTTTTGTGCAAACTATGAAAAATCTTTCCCTAGATATTTACAGATTGATTGTGATTGACCAATTCTCGAAAGTTGATATTTGATTTAGATTTGAAATCGATCTTGCACTGTTAATTTTATTGAGGTTTGGTGAATTGCTTCTACAAAAAAGCTCTCTGCCGATGTCCATATTATTCAACAAGTCTGTGACATACAAAGCTTTTTATAGGCTAAAATTGTAAATTTGACTTAGCATTTAAAATAAGGAAGTATTGTAGAAGAAAAATTCGATTTCAAAGAGTATCAAGTACTCTAAAACAGATCTATATTGCATCTTTTATTTGTTTTTGATATCAAGTTTCAGAGTTGAAACTTTGTCTAAAACTTCAAAGTCATGAAAACTATGAGATCTTTTAAGTTAATTAGATTTTTTGTTCCATTTACCGGAAGCTCTACATTGAAATGAAAAAGTTAAACAAGATGAACAAGATAAAAATTAATAAATTAAATGCACCCCCAGTGGTATATGCGGTATTTCAACCATTCTGCTTATACATAAGCAAATAGAATAGGATAAAATTACCATTTTTACGTCATGCTAAAAAATTGCTAGTCTAATTTTATATCGTTTTTTTTTTGGCAATGGAAAGTATCACTGACATTTTTTTGTATTAAAAATTACAATCTTGTACGTTCGTATATATACCTACTTCATTTATCACTCATCAGACACATTGCTGAGAAACGACAAAGTATCTACCGCAAAAATCTAAACTGATGATATATGGTAGAGATAAAATGGCAACGAACTATCGCGGAAATACACAAAACACAATGGCCTTTTTTAAAACTAAATGCACCATTACAAATTACAACATAAACCACTATTTCACATTATAGTCATAATACGTGTGGGTATGAGTTGTGTGGGAATCTCACTAGGTTTTTTTCCTTTTGATGTTTGTTTCATTATTAAATAGTCGATAACATCAAGTATGTACAAGCATTTCATAGCAACAAAAAAAAGTTCGAATTTTGAAAATTTCAAAAAACATAAAGAAAGATTTTATGATGAGTTTGTATTGCTTCTTGATTCAAACTGTCCCTCCATAACTTTCCTTAAATAATTGAGTAGTCTCATTGACTTTTGTAATTTGTTTCATTTTATATAGAACTTGTATGATATTTGCTTTTTGTTATACATATTGCCTATTATCAGAGCAATAAATAAACCATGTCATTTTGTAGGGAATTATATGTTTTTCTTATTGCTCTATGACGCATCATCGTTTATTCGAGTCACCCCCATAGTTTTAACAAAAATAATGCCAACAATAAATTCCTATACCCTGAAATACAAACATTCATTTATTTATTGTATTTTCCTTGCACACTCGAGGCGACAAGTTTTATTTATTTGATTGCATGTTCTCGTTCCCTACTATGCAAATATTAATTTTTCAAGAGCGGAAATTTAATTTTTCAATGATACAAAGTGTATAGGGAGAAACTATAATATTAGACCACGAATATTTTTGTCAATTAATATTAATTAGAAACAATAATTAAAATAACCTTCCATGTAAGCATAAATACCGTAATACAGGTGTAATGAAAGAAAACTCGATTTGCTACCATTTTAGGTATAAAACAATATGTCAGATTAGCAAATATCCTTCTGGTACGTCCTTCAACCATTTGCATTTTCATTTAAATTCCTTTAACGGTTCGTTTATGTTGTGATCACGTGTTTTCATGGTTTACAACTATTACCGGCCATTTATTTTTACCGTTTATGGTTCTTGAAATTTATTATTACGATATTGTTTATAATAATAATAATTGTAACTGTTTGTTATAATTTCAGGTCAAAAATTATTAATGTAACAATAAATCCAGAAAATCGGTATTATTTATTGTGAGTAAGTTATGAACAACTAACATTTATATACAGAAAATATCCATCCATCAAAACTTTAAGTAACGAAAATCTCATTTATCCTACAAATTGAGTAAGTTTCTGGGCTTTGCTCAGACAAAGGTTAATAGGATTTTTGCCCACGTCTGCTTAGAATCTAATGGGACTGTCATGCAAAAATAACCCTTGAATTTGAATTTTGTAAAATTTGAATTTTTAACACAATGTGGAGAATTAATTAGAAAATCTGATTATAGCAATATTACTAAAACCACCAGAATATAATAATTCCATGTTTTGTCATGTTAATAGATGCTTAAGATTATAAACTTCTGAAGGAATATGTCCATTTTGTGGGTTTTCTTGTAATTGAAAAAAGCCATAAGATTTTATGTTCCTTAATCCGCAAATAAACTACCTATTAATTTTTTGAATGTCGTCTTGCTCTCAGTTGGCAGTAAAACAATTTCACTAGAAATACTTGTAACTGCATCATTTCTAAAAGTATATTTTTGAGATACAAAGTATTTCTAGCTTTTAAAATTAAACAATAAATCAAATTATTTATGCAACATTATTATTTGATCGATTATACTTCTAGGCTACAAGTGACGAATACAAAGTGAAAGTAACGAATCGGCTGTTTTATAATTGATGCGGATATGCGATATTTTGTATAATCGCTATTATTAGAAAGAAGGAAAAATCTCGAATTTAGTCGGTTTGAATCTAAAACTGTAATAAACTTTCAAAAAATGCATATGTGTATTTTTACATTTTCAAAATCCACACAAAACGTTCTTTTTAGCGAAAGTTTTAAAAACATCTTTAATCAAACGTCTTTTTTATACCTTTTCAAAAAACACTTTGACATTCAGCACATTTTTTCAGTTTTCTCATGCAACTTTGATTTGGAGCTTCAAATGAACTTTAAATTAACTTTTTTATGTGAAAAAGACTTTGATTCTTTAATCCTGAAAGTTTCATGTCACTGTGATCATAAGAAGTACTTTGCACAAGTAATTTTTGCAGATTTTAATAATTTTTATATGCATTAGGGTGAGAAAAAGCTTCTAACTTTAGTTTGGAGCTTCAAATCAACTTCAAATAAATTTTGTCACAAAGAGGAAACATCAATTCACTGTGATCATTAGAAGTACCTGTTTTGCACAAGTGATTATTGCAGATATTAATCATTTTTGCTTGCATTAACGTGAGAAAAAGCTTCCAAATTTAGTTTGAACTTGAAATTAACTTTTCCACAAAAAGAAAACGTGGGATTACATTAAAAGTGGGATTCTAGTGTACACATTTTCCAAGGTGGCTTACCCCTAGGAACTTTACGTTGATGGATGTTTTGTGAATATACGTTTTTTTTTTATTTCGTTCTCGAAAACACTTACCTATTATTGTTCAGTTTTCTCTTGTATGTTGAGCATCACTAGTGTAGCAATAATTCCTATTAGGCCCAAAATGAGTTGTTCAAATACCATGAACATCCGCATTATTCGTATCCCATTAAACAAAACATTTATTTTATTTTTAATCCATAAAATTTTACAATAATTATCGATAAACAAATAAACGGACTAAGCTTCATTGTTTTACGACAATTAATTACAAAACATCAATAAAAGCCTCACCTTCAAACATAATATTAGCTAATAAAATATTATATTTTTTTAAACAAAATTCATTGGTACCATATTAGTACCAACAACGTTGTAGGTGGTCGAAAATTCTATTGAATGAAGATTAATGAACCTTTAGATGAATCACGTATATGTAGGTATTTTCTGGCAAATGCAAACAATTAACATAGAAAATCACTGATTAGCCTCTTTCAAAACGGCATATTAAAGCAGATGAATATTATTATTTACGTTCCATGGTATGGTTTCATGAATTACCGTGTCAGTTTTGCTACTTCAACGGTCAGTTTCACCACACGATTATTTAGTCTTAAGATCTATGTATATATGAGAAGGTGTAGGTAAAAAATGTGGGGTTTTACTGGATTTTATAGCTTTTTAAACCAAGAACAAGGTATGTTTCAAGTTATTTATTTTGACATAATTTAGGTGTTTCATAGACAAACAAAACTACCTGGAGGCTTTTCGGAAACAAATAAAACTTTTAAGTTTATCTGTTATTTCTAATAACGTTCAAGACATTTTCTTGGTTGGTTGCCAAACTTCAACTTTAAGTTTGCTATATAAATTCAAAAGTAAGCATCTAAAGTTCATGGAAAACCAATTAACAACATGTATTTTTTGAAACATTTTCAACAAAGTGGTTTTAATAAAATTTGTAGTTTGTACTTATTGATAAAACATGTTCAATCCATTTAGTATTGATTCACCTATTGTGATGCATACATTAGTACATTGACTAAACATGTAACAATCTTGATGCGTATAAATGAATCAGTATTTTATAGAAACCATTACACAAAATCATCAAAATTTTCGTTAATTTTAGCTCAAGATAATGTTTAAGCTACCTTCTATGGGGCAATACGATAGGTACTATTCTAATAATACAAATACACTGTATTTTTCATATTAGTAAAAAATTGTAAAACAAAAAAAAATTGTTACAAAATAAGGTATTATTCACTTCAAGTTCCCACAAATATGATTCATTTCTTATCGCTATAATAATAATTTTGCAAAGTAAACTGCAGCAAAAAAATAATGATAAAAAACTTATTAAAGCATTAAAAATGTTCATTCATGATATGTATAGGAATTTAGGTTAAAATCTCGTCCAAACCATCCTTTTATCATCGAATTTGGCAACAGGAATCCAAATATTTGACGGGCTAAATGCATTTACAATCTGTTAGAACTGAGATAATATACAAATAGGCGTTTGCGTTGTTGATTGAAAACGTACCTAATGCATTTATTTTTAAAACATCATAAATTAGTTCAAATATTAAAGGATTGTTAGTTGAAATGATTATAGAAAAAGCATACTGATTAGGTCATGACCAGGTTATGGCTTATTTGAATTAAATTATAGGATTTTCAATGGTGATCTTTTTTCAGGTAAATACCATAAAAGTCGTTCACGCTCAAGACTGCCTAGATGGTTACGCCCCCTATCGTGTCCCGATGAAGCAACCATGTCTGATAACCACAGGGTAAGATAATAACTTCAACTGCTTCCTAGTTTGATAAGGAGTTAACTATGTCAATTTTAACATGAATTTGTTCTGAACAGCTAATCACTCTGCACTATTTTCAAACATTTTGGTACCAAATCTTACAGATTCACATTATGGAATGAGCTACCTTATGATTTGGATTTTTAAAAAATTTGAAGATCCATAACTTTTTTTCTATTATAGATAGAAAGCTGAAATTTTCAGCGATTCTTATTCTAGTAGAGGACTACAATCCCTGAAAATTTCAGCCCATTTGGACCTATAGTTCCAGAAATAGAATCAAACTAGAGTGGAGGAAATTCTGAAAGCACAACCTGATAAATTTCCATCCCAAAATTTCTATTTTGAATTAACGATGAACGGTGGAGTTGAAAGTTTACCAAGGTGGAACGATGCGGTTTGGAAAGGAAACGATGAATGGTGGAGTTTATAAATCAGGCTTTAGAGTTTATTTTTCGAGTTAATTACGAATACTAAAGTTTATTTACAAAACTGGCATCGTGAATGTTCGGGTGCGCTTGTTATGTTACATGCGCTAATAATTCCACGATATTTCCTGAATTTCCCCCATATTTCCTAATAATACTTCGATATTTCCTAATAATACCTGGATATTTCATTGATATTTCTTGATACTACCTCGATATTTCCTATTAATACTCTGACATGATATTTCTTAATAATACCTTATATTTCCCCATATTGCAGTGTCTTTCCTTATATTTCCTTTTCAAATTCAATTTCAGCTTCAAATCTCGAAATAATTTAGTGTATGGAGTTTGGGGGGTCCCCGATGATCATTTAGACACAAAAACTTAACATAAAAAAATTAGAAATTTCATAATTTTAGTACTAGGTATAGGGTGTTTTTTTTTTATGTATTGGCACCCCACTTACAGCCTTTACCTTTATAGGTAGATGAAAGGTGTAAATACAAAAGTTGTCATTAGCATATCCAGGATTTTGGTTTGGGGGGGGGGGGGGGGGGGGCTGTGTTAACAAAAAATGTAGGTAAAAAAATTTTTTGAGCCACGCTGCTACGCCCAACAGGCCACTTTCACGTGCCTCCATTGGCTAAAGCCAATATTCATGCGCTTGTTTCCACATGAGAAATCCTCAAATATTTCAGGATGATTGTAATAGGTCATAAGATCATAGAGGTTATAGCAAGAGTTCACCAATTATACCTATATCCTTTAGATATAGAAAGTTGCCTATTTTTTTCATGAATTCACATATTACATACATACCCAAACGTTACGCGCCTATAATTTTTTGCGGGGCGACAAAAATATTCGCATCGGGCCGCTTTTTTTTGTGGCAAGGTAGAGAAATTTTGTTCACGGATCCCTTCTCTCACATAGGCAAGGAAGTATTTCAGGGTACCCATTCTTGAAATTGGGGAGCAGCGTTCCCAGGAAAACGAGTGTTCTGTCTTTCTCAATGATATGCAAATGATAATATAAATAACAAAGACGGAAACTCGTTCTCCTGAGAACAGTGCTCCCCTGTTTCAAAAATAAGGACCCAGATATGCAAGGTGATTAAGGTGAACCATTGATTTCCTTGCCGCATTAGGCGCCCGCCATAGAAATACCTTAATGTAGAGAGAAATAGATTTTATTTCTATATTTGCTACAAAAAAATTCCCATGTCACATAAAATACGCTGGAAAATATTGGTCTAGACTTGCCTTGGGGGGGGGGGGGCTGCAGCCTGGCAGCCCCCCCTGGATACGCCTATGAAAGTTGTACAGGATTGGCTTAATTTTTAGAATCCATGGTAAGAAACAAAAATTGAATGTCAGAAATGTGAAATATTCTTGAAGAGCACATTTTCCCGATTCCAAAACTATATAGTTTGTCTATATTTGGTTGAGCCGTCTCCAACATATTTGGTTTTAAAAATTTTAAAAATACTATTTGAGAAACCAAGAACCTCAAATTTTACCTACAGCTTTCACCTGTACAGGTAGAATGTTCACAAAATCAGTAGTAGGATAGTATTTTTACAATTTTTGGAGCCGAATATATGAGAGATTGCTCAATCGAATATAGATCGGGGCATTGTGCTCTTCAAGAATATAGAATGAAATATAGGGCATCCCATTTGAAAAAAGCAAAATTTCACATTTCTTACTTTCAAATTTTGTTTCAGACCATGGTTTCTAAAAATTCAGCCAAAACTGTACAACTTTTGTATTTACACCTTTCTTCTACCTGTAAAGGTAAAGGCTGTAGGTGGGGTGTCAATATATAAAAAAACACCTTGTACAAATAAGTGGATTATTGCGGAACTTATGGGGTGGACCTCTGCGGGACGAGCGCAGCGAGTTCCGCAGCCCTCTACCTACCAATATACTGTTGAACTGCTCAAGTAAGACATTCACCTGAAACGTGTAGTTTTTAAACTAATGAGAATAACTCACATTGAGTGAGTCAGGTTAGTATAGTAATTGAACAACATATTGATGAATAGATGGTCAATTTGCGTTTTAACAGGAATTAGTTATGTTGCTTTACCAAACTAGTAACATAATGTGACAAGTTATTCAAGTACAAACGAGTGGATTGTTGCGGAACCTATGGGTGGACCTCTGCGGGACGAGCGCAGCGAGTTTCTCAGCCATCTATTCATTAATACGTTGTTCAAGTACGATACTAACCTGACTCACTCAAATAGCAGTTATTCTCATTAGTTCAAAAACTACACGTTTCAGGTGAGTATCTTATTTGAATAGTTCAACAGTATATTGGTGAGTAGATGGCTGCGTAACTCGCTGCGCTCGTCCCACAGTGCCAGTCAACCGTCCGATTTATCAGTTTCCGTAAATAAAATTAAACCCATGAGACAAGGATGTGTTGTTATTGAATGCAATGACAGCGATTCAGTAAAAAAACTTCAAGCGAAGGCTGTGACAGAACTGTCGGAAAATTATGAGATTGAAGTCCCTAAACTGGCCAATCCAAAAATGATAATTGTAGGAATAAAGGAAAAATACTGTGGAGAGGATGAGTTTGTACAGCGCATAAAACACTAGAATTGTTTGACAAATATTGATAATGTATTATTAAAATTTAAAATAATTGGAAAATAATCATCAAAAAAGTCAGGCCTCCAAAACGTTATACTGGAGGTTTCACCCGAAATATTTAAATTTTTCAGAAATGCAGAAAGATATTTTTTTATTGGGAAAGTTTTCCCATCTATGAACATTTTGGCGTTATGAGGTGTTATAAGTATTGGAAAATTGGACATAAGGCTGCAGTCTGTAGGAGTGATAAGGTTGTATGCCCCTTATGTAACAAAGAACCACCGAAGTGAAGAATGTTCCTCTGAAATTAAAGAGTGTGCAAGTTGTAAATATGCCTATGATGTATTGAATATGAAGGAAATACATTTTATTCACGCCGTCTTTGATAAAACGTGCATATCTTACCAAAGGGCAGTTGAAAAAATAAAAAATAAAACCACCTAATGGCTTTTTGATTTTGCATGTAAATATACAGGGACTTACAGCGCATTTTGAAGAATTGGATAATTTTATCGATGAAAGAAAACCCATGGTTTGTTGCGTAACTGAAACTCACATCACCCCAGAAATAGAGGAGAGTGAAATTAGTTTATATGGATATACCACCGTTCTGTGCACATCTAATAGTAGACATACGGGTGGAACGATCATGTATATAAGAAAGTCTGTTTATTTATAATGACGCAGTTGACTATAATTTTTGGTTTTTAATAACTAAACTACAATTTGAAAAGGAGTCATTTATTTTCGGGACATTTTATCGGTCGCCTAATTGCGCATTATTTCTCAATTATCTGAAGGAAAAACTAAATGATATAGTTTTCCAAGGCTATTCCACAGTACTGTTGGGTGATTGTAATGTGGACTGGCAAAAAAATGACTTGTGAAACAAATTATTAGTAGCGCTGGATATAGACAGATTGTAGAAAAAAACACTCGTATCACAAATACATCTGCTTTTCTTATTGATTACATCATAACAAATGATTATAGTCTAGAAGAAGTTTTGAGAGATTTTCCAATATTGTTTGACCTTGAAATGGTTGGGGTAGAAATTAATGTTAGTTACTAAGACGCCAACAAAGGAACCGCAGACTTTCTATGGTAGAAACTTGAGTGATGTCTCCCAGGTGTGCTGTGAGTTAATAGGAAAAACCTCGAACTATATATATACATCTGTCGATGTTGATGTGTTGTGTGCTGAGTTTATTGCCAATATACAGGAAACTTTAGATAAATATGCCCCTCCAAAAATTCAGATACAAAAAAACTGCAAATCGATTACAAAAGCAAATAGGCTGGTTCAAATCGAGAGAGATAGAGCTTACAAAAAATTTTGCCTGACAAAAATTGAGGCTGACTGGGAAAATTTCAAGCAGAAGAGGAATGTGGTTGTTTCTATGATTCGTAGACGAAAAGTGAAGTATTACAGCAATCATATAGACAACTGTAGGGGTGACAGCTGGAAAATGTGGAGAACACTGAATTATTGGATCCAAGAAACAAAATACTGTTTGTGATCAAGTAGACTGGGGACAATATAGTGAGGAAGTTTAGTTGAAAATTTTAACAATTACTTTTCTGATAGCGTTTCTGAAATATCTGACAGCATAGACTATCAAGAATGGAAAAATAAAAATGAAATCAACTTGAAAGCACAACTCTTAAACTTCAAAACAGTTAACTTGGCTCAGCTTAGACGAATTGTTTTTGGACTAAAAAATAAAAGCACCAGCGACAACAATATGAATATTAAGCTAACAAAACAACTATTTTGTGTAATTGGATATCCACTATTGTATATTATTAATAAATCTTTGACCACAGGAAAAGTTCCTAGGGATCTAAAAACTAGTAGTACTATAGTTCCCATTCCAAATTAGAAGCAAGCATTCGTGCGAAACGGCAATCCAATATGTCTGTGCGAACTGGAGGAAAAGGCTCAACGATGAGGAATTGGTTCTTGGGGTTTTTGTGGATCTAAAACGCGAATTTGCGACCATAGATCGCGAGATATTAGTGAAAAAACTCAGTTCATATGGTGTACGCGAGGGGACTCTAAACTGGATTGTTGACTACCTAAAAGACATCAGGTACCATGAGACAAAAATTAATTTCAGCACATCAGAAAAAAAGGAAAGTGTTTTGAGGCGTTCCGCAATGAAGTGTACTCGGGCCGCTTTTGTTTATAGTTTATGTTAATGACATTTATTGTACTTTGAAGAAATGTTTTGTAAATTTGTTCGCTGGCACTTTAATTTCTATTTCTGGGAATAACTATAATGAAATGGTTTAGAACCTCAACAATGAATTGATTTTTTTTTTATAACTGGCTATGTCAAAATAGACTAAAGTTAAATACTGCAAAGACAAAGTGTCTGGTAGTGGGATCTAAAACAAACTGTAAAAAATTTTATAATATGGACTTATCACTATACATAAATGGGGCGCCTGTTAAATTTGTGTCTGAAATAAAATATTTAGGTGTTATGCTTGATTTGCAATTAAGTTTTTCTTCGCATGTAAATTATCTGTGTAAAAAAATTGGCAAAAAAGTGGGATTTTTTTGTAGAGTGTCCTCTTGTGTGTCACATTGGACAAAAATGTTAATTTTTAATGCTATCATATTGCCACATTTTAACTACTGCTCTTCTCTACTAATAACTTGCACAGGTGAAGAAATTGAAAAACTTCAAAAGCAACAAAATAAATGTATGCGAATTTTGTTACAATGTAGTAAATATACATCAATTGAGAATATGTTAAACTCCTTAGGCTAGCTTAATACAGAACAATGTTTTAAAAAGGCTAACCTTATATTAATAACTATATAAAATTGAAAACAACTTGTTGCCAGATTATTTAAGTTTGTACTTGGAAAAACGATCTCAGTTTCATAACTACAACACTCGCACAAAAGACGCTATTTATTTATATATGATGGACTACGATATTTCAATAGTCTACCAACCCATGTGAAAGACTCTCCTAGTTTGACCGTTTTTGTCAAACAACTATGTACTTATTTACGCAGCCATCTACTCACCAATATACTCTTGAACTATTCAAATAAGATACTCACCTAAAACGTGTAGTTTTTGAACTAATGAGAATAACTGACATTTCAGTGAGTCAGGTTAGTATCGTACTTGAACAACGTATTGATGAATAGATAGAGGTCCACCCATAAGTTCCGCAACAACCCACTCGTTTGTACTTGAATAACTTGTCACATTATATTACTAGTTTGGTAAAGTAACATTACTAATTCCTGTTAAAAGGCAAATTGACAAAAAGTGGATGATCTTACAAATTCTGACTTTATATAATAAGTTATTGTTCAAGTACAGGGAGTTTTTTTTATATATTAACACCCCACCTACAGCCTTCTCCTTTACAAGTAGATGAAAGGTGTAAATACAAAAGTTGTACAGTATTGGCTAAATTTTTAGAATCCATGGTCAGAAACAAAAATTGAATGTCAGAAATGTGATATGTTGCATGCTTTCAGCTTTTTTCAAATGGGATGCCCTATATTTGGTTCTATATTCTTGAAGAGCACAATTTCCCGATTCCAAAACTATATAGTTTGTCTATATTTGGTTGAGCCGTCTCCAACATATTTGGTTCTAAAAATTTTAAAAATACTATCAGAGAAACCAAGTACCTCAAATTTTACCTGCATCAGCTTTCACCTGTATAGGTAGAATGGTTCACAAAATCCGTAGTAGGATAGTATTTTTACAATTTTTGGAGCCGAATATAATATATTCGGCTCCAAAAATTGTAAAAATAATTATGAGAGACTCTTCAATCAAATATAGACAAACTATATATTTTTGGAATCGGGGCATTATGCTCTTCAAGAATATGGAATGAAATATAGGGTATCCCATTTGAAAAAAGCTGGAAGTATTCAAAATTTCACATTTCTGACATTCAAATTTTGTTTCTGACTCGGTTTCTGACCATGGTTTCTAAAAATTCAGCCAAAACTGTACAATTTTTGTATTTACATCACCTTCCGTCTACCTGTAAAGGTAAAGGCTGTAGGTGGGGTGTCAATATATAAAAAAAACACCCTGTACATATTTCCCTTATGATATGAATTTTTAATAACTTTGAAGAACCATAACTTTTTTTCTATTATAGATAGAAAGCTGAAATTTTCAGCGATTTTTATCCCAGTGGAGTACAATCCCTGAAAATTTCAGCTTATTTGGAGTTATGGTTCCAGAAATAAAATCGCGTTAAGCAATTTGGGGTGAATTTATCCATTTTTCAATTTTCTGAGTGCATTTATTCATAGATTTCGGCTTCAAATCTCTAGTGTATGGAGTTTGGGGGATCTCTACTGATTATATAAACGCAAAATCCTAACATAAAAGAATTTTGAAATTTCATCATTTTAGTACTAAAGTAGCTCCCTTATTATTTGGATTTTTAGAAATTTTGATGACCCATAACTTTTTTTCTATAATAGAAAGAAAGCTGGAACTTTCAGCGATTCTTATCCCAGCGAAGGACTATAACAATCCCTGAAAATTTCAGCTCATTTGGACTTATAGTTCCAAAGATAAAATAGCGTTAAGCAATTTGTGGCAAACATCAATTTTTCAATTTTTTGACGTCCTTTTTATAAAGATGTCAACTCCAAATTAGAATAATGTAGTGTATGGAGTTTGGAGGGCCCCAAATGATCATTCCAAATTCCAATACACAAAATCTTAACATAAATATGAATTTTCATCATTTCAATTTAAGGGGTATTTTGATTTAGATTTTTAAAAAGTTTTAAAAATCATATTTGAAATTTTATTATACGTAGACATTAGAGCAGGCGCTACAAGTAGTTGAGTATGCAAAATATGAGGACCGACAAAACTGCTCAAATTCGTGTTCCTGTGATCTTGAAGAATGGGAAAGTACATCTTGCCGGCAGCTGGAGTGGTCCCTAACTCTCCTGCCATTTCCCAATGCAAAGTTATATGGAAAATATCACAATTTCAAGTAATTTCACAATAATTCCTATTGATTGTACCTAAGGCTTTCTTTTCAAGCACTCAAAATAATTCTACCACTTGTTGGATATCTTTGCAATTCTGCTCCAAAATATACAGAAGTTAGAGAAGACTTCGACATGTACAACGAAGACCCAACAGGGGCTTATTTTTGACTTTTCCTGTTCCTGTAGTTTTGAAAAAATTCAAAATAGCCAATTGGCATATTTTTTTCTGGAGAATTCAAAAATGATACCAAAAAATCATTCGAACTAAAAACTAAAGAGTTACGCCATGGATTAATTATTTTTCAGATGAAACACCCTGTTTTTTATATAATTTCTGGAAAAGTCGCATTTTTAACGATTTGTCACAAGCTTTAAAATAATAATAATAATAATAATAATAATAATATTAAATGCACCGCTGTAGCTATGTCACCATACCTATACCTCTTGAGCAATGGACGGAAACCCAGAGGGTCGTGAGTTCAAATCCCACTAGCAACAGCAAATTTTAACATACTTACAACTTTCTATTTAAAACCCTGTCGTCTTTTTCACCACAAGAGCAAACTGAATTAGAACTATAATAGTCGTTAAAATCACACACATAGCATACACTCCATGGAATTCCTTTATAAGTGAGAGGAGAGGGGATAGAAAAAAAATGGACCAAAAAATGAGCCGGCAAGATCCGGATTCTTAATCTCTGAGCTTTTCTCAGCTACAATCCATTGATAAAATGCGGTCCTCATATTATGCATACTCAAGTCCGTCTAACTCCCGGTCTACATCTACAAAGCTGAAATGTTCAGTAAATATCCAGAAAAATTGAAATTTCGACATTTTAAAAAAAATGTGACATTATACAATAATTATCTTATTCAAACTGACTATACGCGCCTCATATCCAAAAAACAATCAATTCGCGGTTTCTCTAGAATCCATAATTGCTTATTCACTCAAATAACAGAATAGCATGCCCGAATACTCGCGCTCGGGTCGTTAACAATCGCGCCGGTTCCTCCGCAACAATGTGTTGTTTTTCTCAGGAGCATCTTTATTTTAATCTTCTTTTCTTCCTTCAGGACTCTCGCGCGGGTCGCATCGCCCGCTACAAAGAAGAACGTCGCAAACAACTCGCGGAACAGTTCAGCACCAGCAATTTCGACTCTTCTCTACGTGCGAATGTCAACAATGCTGGCTCTTCGAGTAGCTCGGAGGGGCCCAGGCCCACCCGAACATCCAGGCTGAGAGCTCAAGCCGCTACCAGTCAGATTCAATTAGGAAGTCCTACATTTGGAAAATTAGAGGTAAGAATTTCTAATTATGTTTTTCTATGTTTACAACTTTAAGAAGTTTCCAAAGAGAAAATTATTAGTAAACTTCTTCATTTCAAAAGCATGATAGAATGACAAAATTACCTCGAAAATTACTGATTTTAAATGTATATCAATGTTTTTCATAGTTCACACTTAATTTTTCTGAGATGTTACCTATGCATTTTGATTCATGGAGAGCGATAACATATACATATTTTGCAATTTTTCGGTCAGAGTGAGTCTGCTCTATTTTCTTAGTTCCATATTATCAAAAATGTCCCGATATCTGACAAAGAAAATCAGACACCAAGAGCTGAAAATTCGACCTACAACTTTCCAATTCAAATATCTCATTCTCCTAATAATTATTCTTGTTATACTCTATCCAATAACATGGTTTGGAAATTTTACTTCTTATTCTAACACCGATTCAAAATTTTAAAGATTGGGAATATCTTTATTCATGGATGTTTCTTATTCCAAATCCACTTCCAATATGCAATATTTTTCCATTGGCTTTTGTTCTAAATAAAACCCTGATGTGCAATGACTTTAAACTAGGATTTTCTAATGTCAAAATCCATTCTTTGTACACCAACGTTCAATCGATAAACTCAATTATTATTATGGTGCCGCACCAATAGAGTTTCTAAATACGTTTCCTCATTATATGTCGAAAATACTTGGAAAATCGAGCGTTTGTTAGTAAAATTTTAAATTAAATATTGTACTTTGGTAATGGGGTTTTCGCGGAACTGTCGAAAAATTTCAATCCCACGCTGCATTAATTGCCGGAAATTTTCCAGTGGTGTTTTCGCATTATTAATAATTGGAAATGTTGTTCAACTAAACTAAAATAATCAAATTTATTTCATCAACATAATATTCTCTTGCCTCTGGCATAATCAGTCACTGGTTAACAATAAAAGCCTCGTCTCAGGCAAGGATAGCTTTCCAGATTATTAATCCAGAGTCTGAATTTCCATAACAATATCTGCAGCGCTAGACATTGTTCGTGATTTAATGGATAACTGGAACAAATCGTTCATCTATAAATTTATAAATCGATGCACTCTGATTTTCCATTGAACTTTTCCAATTAACTGGTATAAGAATTTAACGTGTGTTCGACCATCTGCGTTCCTTGTAAACACTTTGATTGATTATCCTTTTTAAAAAGGGGAAACTTCCGACACGAAGGGGTTTTTTTTTTCTGGGAAATTACCCTTACATCAAATATATCATGTTGAAGTGGAAACTTGAGAAAATAAAAAATAAAGTAATTATGATAATGTTAATCCAATTTTTTTATCCTAAATCAAAACACATATTTGTGGTTAATTCCTGATAAAATAATACATTCAAAATTGACAAATATTTAATAAATTATTAATTGCAATGTCGATAATATAAAAGTTATAATTATAATTAGTCAGCCTGGGTTATTCTTTGAAAATATAACAGATATATTTTCTGGATGTTCTCAGGTAATTGAGACGCGTTTTAATTTTTGTTTCTGAACACTTATACATATTAAAAAGTAATTATCCAAGAATCCCTCACCAAACAATTAGTAATATATGTTTTTTCTCTGATAAGAGGTTAGTCCTAATCAGTACCTCAGTCAAAATACGTGATCATTAGCAGACTGTTTGGGTTTATCGTTAATAACGAAAGTTGTTCGTCAGTCAAACAACCGCGATTTAGCAACAAAATATCGGTCGTTTCTCTTTTGAATAATTTCAGACAATGCATTTCCTTTTTAGATAAACATTTTTGTATATATTTGTATGGTAAGTTTTGCTGCAATCAATTATCACTATTATTTCATATTTAACATTGATCTTTTTTTTTTTGTTAAATTTATTCCAGAAGGGTGTGTCGCCTTTGTCGTCGGACTCCCCCAAAGGCAAGCTCGAAAGGGACAAAAGCAGCAAAAGGAAGTCGAATTTGAATAGATCGCTTACATGCGAAGCGGTTCCTCCTAACAGTCTTTATGGTAAGTTGAGTTTTTTATTGACAAGTCGATGTTTAAAGTTTAATTTGTCTAGAAGAGGGGATTAAGTTAAGTTTGACGTCTTTATTAAACTTTTCCAGCCAATTGTTTGTAACTTTGTACACTGTGACAGCCCCAAGATGGATTATTTAATTTGAGCATATTTTGCTAAATTGCTGGAATTTCTTGTAAAATCAGTCACTGTCAAGTTCAGGTGTTGAAATCTGTACTATTTTCAAATAACTTCAGGTGAAAATCGGGCATCAAGATTTGTTGGAGCTATAGAAAGAAAAATCAAAAAAACTTGAAAGGAAATCCATACCAAGTAGCTGGAGTCTAAAGACAAATCAGTAAAACGAAGTTGATGACTATCGTAATCTTTTATCTTTTGCCAGGTGTTTATAACAATTATTTTGTGACAATACGTACATTTCCACCCTAGTCTTGGGCACAAATGGTACTGGAAGTTATAGGCAGTACCAATATAAACCTGTTAGGATACCTAAAAAGACAAATAATTTTGAGCGAGCCCTGATCGGGCGCCAAATTTGTAACGGGTTTTCCTCTCAGAACGGGTTTCTAGATGATACTGCTTTGAGGGCTCGGTCAGATCAGACTCTCGACGGTTTATTTCGGTGGATTTATACTCTCTCAAAGCGGTGGGAAAGGATTCGGTTTGGTTGCGCACACCCTCTCTTTCCCTTTTCCAGAAATACGTAGTACGGAAATCTAAAACGATTTAACTGAGCTGGCTGATATAGTGTTTTATGTGATTATCTACCTAATTTGAGCAGTTTCGGGTTTTGCGTGTGAAAAAGTGCAATCAGCAACCTCGGATTAGTTCAGAACTTAAGTGCGCGCATCCGCAGAAAGGTCCAGTACATTTTTTTGGAGATAGGCGGTAGAAAGTCACATTAAAAACGGTACAGTAACGGTCAACCCGGTCGGAACCAAAATAAACATTAAACGGCCTCTCGGTGAAACGGGGGACGGATGATGACGTAATTTTTACGGTCAGTTGCTGCTGCGCAGAAGGGTCCCTGCTCGGGCGCCAAATTTGTAACGGGTTTTCCTAGGTTTTTCCTTAAGCTGTGGCAGCTCAACAGTCGGTATTTATCCAAAATTATGACCTTTCAAAGTCTAAATCATAACCTTCATACTAAAACGATGAAATTTCAAAAATTTTTTTGTCGAGATTTTGTGTTCTAATGGTCATTTGATATCCCCCGAACTCCATACAATGAATTATTCCCAGATTTCAAGCCGAAATCTATGAAAAAAGGCACTCAGAAAAATTGCAAAATTCATAAATCACCCCAAATTGCTTAACACGATTTTATCTCAGGAACTATAAGTCCAAATGAGTTAAAATTTTCAGGGATTGTAGTCCTCTACTAGAATAAGAATCGCTGAAAATTTCAGCTTTCTATCTATAATAGAAAAAAAGTTATGACCTTTCAAAGTTTTCCAATGTCTAAATCATAAGGTAGCTACCTTCTTACTAAAACGATGAAATTTCAATTTTTTTTTTGTCGAGATTTTGTGTTTAGTCTCGGGTACAAATGGTACTGGAAGTTGTAGGCGGTAGGTACCAATATACACCTTTTACGGTACCTGAAAAGACTTGCAAATAACTTGGAGGGTGGTTCAAGGGGGTAAAACTGATAATTGCGAGTTATCGAAACTAGGGTTTGTGAATAACAATGTGTAATTATATACGTTCTTTTTTCTTTAAACTGGAAGTAAAGAACAGAAATAAACACCACTATGAACTGAAATAAGGTGTAGTTGAGTTGTGTAGGTTGTTGTTTGTACCCGAGACTAGGGTGGAAATGTCCATATTTTCACAAAAACCCTTTTTTCGATGAATCGCAATTATTAGTTTTATCCCCTTAAACCACCCTTAAAGTAATTTGCAAGTCAAATAAGGTTCCTTGAACCGTGTATATTGGTACTGCCTATAATTTCCAGGACCATTTGTTCCCGAAACTAGGGTGAAAATGTCCATATTTTCACATAAACCTACACAAACAACATAAAAATGTTCAAATTAAGTATTTTTTCATTCAATTCAGTTACTCAGTTTAAGTTTCATAACCCATAATAAGGACTAAAGCTAAATGATTTAGTACCTTTGGTTCTAATCTTTAAACCTCCTGCTTGGCCTTGTTCTCTCTACAAGCTCTGAACATTTTTGGTTCATCCTAAAAGATCGTTGTGATAATGCCTGGTCTTACTAACTGAGCTACAATCTCTTCTTTTTCTTCTTTGATGGACCATGGTACTGTAGAAAAACGAACTTCTGACTTCGAATCGTAATGATTTCTAATGCAGCAAAATAATAATACATCATACTTTTATAGGCATTTTTGGTAGCAAGCTAAATGTAAAAAGAATAACCTGTTGAGGCACCCCAACAGAAAAATATAAATTAGGACAGACTCTTGGCAATATGGGTTTCCTTAGAATTCGACTGAAATAACGAATGTTGGCAATCATTCTGGGAATGATAATTTTATTTGTTGCTGCCCTGAAGCGTTCTGTGATGATGTTGCAAAACCAGGTTTTCAAATTTTTTAGCCTCTCTATTTTTTGCAAAATGTATTATGTTATTGTCCCAACTTCCTTCTTCTTTTAAATAACTATTATTGTAAACTCCTAGACAATGATGTATATACACCTGAGTCCAATGCCAGCTAACTTCAATGCACTTGCCTTGTACTAAATTCAAGCGAGTCTGACTTTTGCAGTATATGCATTTTTCATTAGGAAAAATGCCCCTATAAAAATTCAGTCGGATCGCGTAGCTGCATATGGCCTAATAAAACTTCAAGGCATGAAACTATAAAGTGAAACTCCCCATTTCAGCAATTCAGCAGGGAAATGCTTCACTAATATGAAAGGCAGTAAAAAAAGTAACGTAAGAGATCCTCGTAAAACCGTTGCAGATTTAATTCGAACATCAAACAACTCTTTTGAGCAGAAATATAAGAGAGATCCATATAATCCCCGAAGTACGCGACAAACTGGGAAGGCGGCCGATGGAAAATTGAATATGCAACCAAATTATATCTAGCGACCTATATAAGTTTTGTTGCTATACTAAAATGAAATTGATATGAAATATGTAGGGATTTTTTTATCTAAACATTACAGGCAATGTTTTTTGCAATGCCCTTCGGGAGTAGGTAATTAACGTACATGAAGGTGTCTCGCATGTCGAGCTAATGAATCTCGCTTTTATTTTTTTGGCTGGAATTGAGGCTAGACGCAAATATAAAGCAAAAACGTGTTTGTGCTCTGTCTGGGCTGCTCAAAGAGAGGGGGAGCTAATTTGACTTTAATATGAGACTCAAATAAAGCACTCTTGTCAAACAAACAAAGTAGGAATATTTTTTTGTTGACAAAGCTAAAAAATAATTGACAAAATCTCTGAAAAATCGTCTGCAGATAGCAGATATTCAATGACTTTGTACTGACAGTTTTCTTACATATAATTCACCAGAAGGAGCCATCAAATTATCATTGGCGAAGAAAATGAACAATCGGTTTGGTTTATAAGATAAATACATAATTTTTGCCTAAAAGAAATGTTTCCAGAATATAGTAGGCCTATCCAAGGCATTTCTTCAAAAACTTTCTAAACTGATCTTTTTTTTTTGTAGAAAAATGACAATAGGATGGTTCTATCAACCAACAGTCTCACAAAATTATTTCATTTTTTTGTTCTAGACGATCCTAAAACCGCTCGAAGACGTCGTCGATTTTTCCCACCAGAAGTTCTAGAACAAACTCCTACAATGCCGACCAACGAATATACTGCCTCTCCAGCCACTTCGAATTTGCCTTCACCTCAACTGCCCACTGCCTCTACCTCGCCAAGCGCTAGTTCTTCCTGTTACAATAATTCACCACTAAGACTCACTCCCAAGTAAGCAATAGAATAAATTTACGACCAATAATCATTTGAATTTTTATTTTTTAGACGATCTGAACTGTCCATTCATATGGAAAATGCTCGACGAAGCGTTATAACTCCGCCAACTTCTGAATCGCACAAATACAAACCGTTTGCTTTAAGGAAAACGCAAACTTCCAGTCCCAGGGATAAAACTGCTGCAAACTCACGTAATGGTGATGTAAATAAAGAAGTAAGTTTCCATGTTATTTGTTGGGGGCAATTTTAAGTAATATGTATTTTGTAGGAGGAGACAAAAGGAGCTATAAGACGTTCTACAAGCTCAACCTCAGATAAGGAAACAAACCGAATTATAGCTAAAAGAATAGACGAATTAAGCGCTTTTACTCGGGACACTTTAGCTAGTTTAGAGAGATTGGCCAATAGGAATCGTGAAATTCGTAACAGACAAAGTCCTGCTAAACAGGTAATAATTTTAACACAACGACATGCTTGAATAATCGAATTTTCATTGAATTTCAGGTTGATAAATTTTCAAGATATTCACCAGGACCTTCGTCGATACTCAAAAAGAAACCGAGAGAGGAAAAAGAGACTGTTGTAGTTGTAGTTAATGAGCCCCCTGCTCCCGCACACGCGGCTCCGGTGTCTATTTTAAAACGAAAAGTAGCCCTAGGTAAAGAAAACAATACATTATGCATTTCATTACCAAATTTCATATTTTTCACAGATGAAAAGACTGAATCCCATTCGACACACACGCCACCGGTGACTTTTTCGCCGAGCGTAGTGGAGCCGGCGACGACCAATAGGAAGCAGGGAATTTTAAAGAAAAGACGTAGTTTAGACGAATCCACTGTGATGAGGCATAGAAGCTGCAGTCCGGACGTTTCCAATAATAAAACTTCTGATTCTAGGTAAGAACATGTATGTACAGTGCATAAGTGAAAATTGAAATTTCAAACAAGAGTATATGTATGTACAGGGTGTTTCAAATTCGAGCCACATCATTGGGATCTCGGAAACGGTAAGATATACATGGTTGGTTAAATGGGGGCAAAGTTGCGTAATTTGATGCTTAACAAAATGCCGCTTTGATATTTAGGATATTCCGAATACTTCCGGAGATATCCGGAAAAACCGAAATTTTGCAAAATTGTTTTTATTTTTTCCTGACTTTATTTGAAGTGATATTCCAAAAAAAAATATCACATCAATGTAGCCACTTTTTCTTCCCTACAAGATGCTACCATCAAATTTTTAATCTGACGTTTCGTCTTTGGGCCACCATCATCAACTCTATTTTTTTAAATACGACCCTGGATTTTTTATTTCAGATTTTTAGTGCTTCTGATGTCCCAAAACCTATGACGTATCGCATTTATTCGAAAAAATGTTTTTTCTATTTTTTAGTAATTTCCTATGGTAATTTCCTACCAAAATTCTCTTCTCTGTCTCTCTCTAACACATTTGGTTCTTATGGAAAGTACCAATAATATAAATTTTTTGAATAAGTGCAATACGTCATTAGTTTTGGGACATCAGAAGCTTGTGAAATCTAAAATGAAAAATAAGGGCCCGTATTTAAAAAAATGAAGTTGATAATGGTGGCCCAAAGACGAAACGTCAGATTTCAAATTCGATGGTAGGATCTTGTAGGGGAGAAAAGGTAGCAATGATGAAGTGACATTTATTTTGGAATATCACTCCAAATAAAGTCAGGAAAAAATAAAAACAATTTTGCAAAATTTCGGTTTTTTTCCGGATATCTCCGGAAGTATTCGGAATATCCTAAATATCAAAGCGGCATTTTGTTAAGCATCCAATTACGCAACTTTGCCCCCATTTACCCAACCCTGTATATCTTACCGTTTCCGAGATCCCAATGATGTGGCTCGAATCTGAAACACCCTGTACAGGGTGGCCCATTTTCGATGTTTTAATGGCCTATATCAAAACCAGCAGATATCAAAAGTCTGGGAGCACATTCTCGAGCTCTTTTTTTGGGAAAATAACAATGGCGAAGACAAATCACGGCTAACTTGATGCGTTTAGGAAATACAGAGCACTTTTCAAATTTTGTCCAATTTCAAAAGACTCTTTTATTTCCTTATTATTCAAGATATCCAAAAACAAAAAATACTTTCTGTAGACAGTTTTTCAAGTAGAATTCAGTGGCATGACCAATTTTTTTTCCAGATGCCATCGATTTTGGAATATTGACCAAAGTTGTGTTTTTCTAAATGGGACACCCCGTATATTATTTTTTCATTGGATAGCTCTTTGTGAGCTGATTTCAATAATATAGAGTTTTATAACTTTACCTTCAATAGTTTTGGAGAAAAAAAATAAATTCCGTTTTTTCCATAAGAAACAATGAGTTAGAAAGAGATAGTTGAACTATGAAATCGGCTACAAACTTAATTCTTAATTTAATTTTTCAGTTCAGCAATTGTTCTTTTAATTTGAACTATGAATCGGGGGTGATGAGGAGGCAACACATAATTTATTTAATGACTTATCTCTCTCTAGCTCATTGTTTCTTATGGAAAAAACGGAATTAATTTTTTTTTTCTCCAGAACTATTGAAGGTAAAGGTATAAAACCTTATATCATTGAAATCAGCTCACAAGGAGCTATCCAATGAAAAAATAATATACGGGGTATCCTATTTAAAAAAACACAACTTTGGTCAATATTCCAAAATCGGTGGCATCTGGAAAAAAATTTAGACATGCCACTGGATTCTACTTGAAAAACTGCCTATAGAAAGTATTTTTCGTTTTTGGATATCTTGAGTAATAAGGAAATTAGAGAGCCTTTTAAAATTTGACAAAATTTGAAAAGTGCCCTGTATTTCCGAAACGCATCAAGTTAGCCGTGATTTGTCTTCGGCATTGTTATTTTCTCAAAAAAAGAGCTCGAGAATGTGCTCCCAGATTTTTGATATCTCTGCTGGTTTCCGATATAGTCTATTAAAACATCGAAAATGGGCCACCCTGTACATACAGTACATAAGTGAAAATTGAAATTTCAAACAAGAGTATGTGTTTGCATATAGAATATTATAGAGCTGACATGTTGCAGTTTTATTGTACAGGGTGTTTCAAATTTGATCCACATCAGTGGGATCTCAGAAAAGATGAGAGATACAGGGTTGGTTGGAATTAGGGCAAAGTTGCGCAATTTGATGCTTATAAAATTTATATTTATATTCAGGATATTTGGAAGACTTCCGAAGATATCCGCAAAAAAAAAATATGAAAAAGAAATAGCGACACTAATTTTCTTAATTATCACTTCTTAGCTGGTGACTTCCCACTATCACGCACAAGGTGCAAGACTATTAAATTTCATTTACTTGCCCATAATGTACCTTCAAACAAATTTTTAGCTTTATATTTTATTTTTAGTTTGAATAGGCTAATGGCATGTAATATTGACAGTTGAGTTGAAGGGGGCGCTTCTGTACTTGGAGTTCTTTAAATTTTGGCGCGTGAATAATCGAATGTAATTTTAACCTCAAAAGTCAAATTTGAAGTGTGGTTTTAAGACAAGCTGACGCTGACACTTTTGAAAATAATCTTTAAGGGCCACTAAACGTTTCGGAAGACATTTTAACTTATTCACTGTTCATTGTTCCTAGGTAGTCATCTTTCCTCCTACTCATTAAAACGGTTTGGAACTATTGACATTTACCGCCAAAATTCAAAGCACTCCAAGTTCACTCACGCCCTCTACAAAATTTTGAGGAACTTAACTGGATATTTGCTGCCATTAACCTGTACTATATCTAGGATGACAGCTAGAAATTAAGTTTCCCTGCCAAACTCCAAGGTTTTTTAGAATAGACTGATAATGTGTTAGAAAGAGACTTTTTTCATTTTCCTTAGATATAAAGTCCTTTTTGAGGCAGTTCATTTTTTTTTGTGTCTCGCTCAGAAATTGACTTCTCGTATCTTGAGCAGGTAAAGCGCATGTTCTTACTCCTCCCACCTAGGAAATTACCTGCTCTAAGTTTCCCATTAAAAGTGGACCACCCTGTACGGAGATTGATAAATCTCAAACTAACGAATTTGCGGTAGTATCTGTTCAAATTTATCCGTTTACATTATTTGATTGCACTGCGCCGATTTATATTTCCTGAAAATCTTATATCGAATTTTCGTTTTAGATCGATCCTCAAGAATCAACGAAGATCGTCCTTGGAAGAACTTCGTCGTATTCAATCGCCGGAAGTCCATATTCAAGGCATTCTTAAGCGAAAAACATCAAAAAATGACGAAGACGATATATCTCTTAACTCGCCTCAAGGAATTCTCAAAAGACGTTCTGGCGCTAGTAGTGCCGGGAGTTCTGGTAGTACTCCGCACGTTTCGATTACGACTGCAGTTATACTGGCAGCTGCTCGAGGTGCCGAGATGATTCTCGAACCGGATTCTGTTAGACCTATTTTGAAGAAAAAGAGCTTTTCAGAGGAGTATTCTTGCAGGTAAGATGGCATTTATTCGCATATAGTTTTGTGGTTCTAGATTAAACTTTTTTTTAGTGAAAGTATTTCTTCTGACACACCTAGACCAATCCTTAAAAAGAAATCTAGCACTGATACAGATGATGGCGAGGATAGTAAGCCTATGAGGCCAATTTTGAAGTTACCTAAAACTAGAAGTGAGGCGATGGATGCTGGTCAAGAAAAACGCCGATACTCGAGATTCAATGGCGAAGCGGATGGTAACTTTCCTATTTTATGTTTAAACTCATTATTATATCTGTGTAATTAATTAGGTGACACAAAACCCTCAATCCTAAAATCTGGCTCGTCTAGAGCCGAATCTCCAAGACCGCGCCTATCGTTTTGCGGTGACACCAGCACCGGGGTAGAAGATTCAGTTGAAGCTGCTAGACGGGGCTCTCGCAGATCTTACACTATTTGCTCCGACTTTAACGTCCAATCGAACGCCATAAGCCGTGATAAGCAAGACGATAGAGATTTGAAAAAGGCGCGTCCTTTGTCAGTATCGGAATTGGTTAAGACGTTCGAGCAGCAAGTGATCAGTAGGCCTTCTGAAGTGAAAACTGGTGCTGTACCAAAGAGGATTAGTCAGAAGAGGAATAGTGATAGGTATAGGACGCAGCCTGTGACATCAAATGAACTAGAGGAAAGGTAAGAGGATCATATATATATTTACTACGTCGTACATGTTTCTTAAGCAAAACAAAATCTGATTGTTTATGCCATGTTGCAACTGACGTTCCATTAGTTTACCTGCGTTGATAATTAAATAATCTCTTATGAGGCGTACAGTTCGTTGCAATACAAAGCAAAGATTTAATGGAGTATAAGGCATCTGGTAACACAAGTTTGAGTTCAAGGCTGATAGATTTCCATGTAATATCATTAAATCTTTCAATTTGTCTGTTTTCTTCCGGATTATACGGTGTAGTTCTACTAGAAGCTAACCCACGAGAATGTAAATATTTAGTGAGCTCCTTTGACATAAATGCTGATCTGCGATCCGAATGTATAAAAGCTGGCATTCCAAATAATGAAAACAGAAAATTTAAGCATTCTATAACAGTAGAAGCTGATGTATCTTTACAAGGAAAAGCAAAAGGGAATCTTGAAAATTCATCTACTATAGTCAGCATGTATTCATTTTTAGTATGAGAACTTGGTAGTGGTCTTTTAAAATCAATATTGAGCCTCTCAGAAGGTGATGTTGCTTTTATTAAATGAGCTCCATTATTCTTACAAAATCTAGGTTTTTCTTCTTGACATACAGGACAACTCAATGTAAGAGACTGTATTTGCACCATAATTTTGGACTCAAAACGATATTCGGATTTATAAAAATAATTTTGGTATTATCTTTCGATATCCTACATAATACAAATTGTGCAATATTTTTTTAAACACTTGAGAAGATTAATTTGCAGATTCCAATATAAATAATAACATTTTTCCTAAAAATTTGATAACGAAATATTCTAATCTTATCTCATTAAATTTGTCTCTGTTGTTATTTCTAGTAAATAAATATTATCAACAGCGGCCCACTAACAAAACCACTTTCCGTGTTTTCCTCAAAATAATTCTTGGCACAGTTCCCTCGATTTTCCAAGAGGTTCTAAAATTAGACAATCGCGAACTTTTCACAGAGTTTAAGCTCGTCTCAGCTCAGACAGCTTTATGCTATCTCTCCGAGAATAAGGTTTCGTGTTTTATTTTGATTGTTTTTAATTGTTTCCACCTAGAGAATCTTTACAAGGTATGTTATGTTTATATTTCCTACACATATTTGTCTTGCTGAAAGATTGCAAAACATTTCTATCAAATACCAACAAATCTTATTTGGATACGCCTGGCTCTGGCGTATTTTTGAAATTTGATTTCATCCAAACACTGTGTGGGTTTGAATGCTGGCTTTTCATTCGATTTTGCAAAACAAATATTTTTCATCTCACAGATGCAAAAATTATTTATTGAAAACGAAAGTGTGCATCTGGACTTTTACTTGCCATTTGAGCCATGGCCAGGATATGCAAATAAGGCACGATCTAAATATCTAGGCTGCGCACCTTTTGGGATGTACGTTTTTTGAATTTTAATTACTAGAGGTTAATAAACTAATTATTGTTTGTTTATTTTTGATTTTGTATTGAGTCTTGTCTGAAAATATTAACTTCTATAATTTTTTTTTAGCCGAAATTTACTCCGTCAAGAAGAAGCTCACTCATCCAGACCGTCACATTTGCCTTACCACTCACTGACTGGCTCTTCTAAATCCTTAGATACAGGAACTTCTTCCTTGAAAGATGACAGCCGTTTGAACTCTTTTCTGTCATCGCCGTTTCATTCCACGTGCCTGCAAGGAGTAAGTGAGACATTATTTTTCAACTTTAAACAAATTATGTATTATGATTTTTCAGGTTGCAATTTCTCCAGAAAGCCCTGCTTGCCACAAAACCTCATCAGACTCAGCATTTCAGTCATTAGGTGACGGATTGGAATTAGAAGAGCCCCAGGAAGAAACTGAAGAGCTTAATATTCAAACAGAAATGTCGTCATTGGCAAGCGAAATGAAAGCCTTAGCTGAAGAAGCAAAGAAGAAAAGACTTGAAAGAGGTAAAAATCTGTTTTTTTTTTCAAAAAAAAAACTCTCAACTTAATCTGCAAAAATTTCAGATCTAGCAGCTACTGAACGTCGAGGAATACTCAAACCACCTCAATCCGAATCTTCTCTACCGCGTCGCAGTCAATCGTTCGCGTCACCGCGTACTCTACTCAAAAATCGTGAAACTTCGGTCTTAGAAACGCCTCGTCACGAATCGGCTTTTCATAAAGTAAAATCGACGCGTACGGAAGTTTCCGTGGACAAAGACGACGAAGGTATTTCGTGTAACGATTCCGGATCCGATTCCGAAACTTCAGACTTGAAAGGCAAAACTCCAAAGTTCAATGTTAAGTTGTGCGGAGATGATACTACTTCGGAAGGGGAAAGTTCTGGAGGACGCGAAGTCAAGAGTATATTTAGGAACGACAACAGGCTGAGTTTGAGCTTCAAGTAAGTGGATTTTGTATTATTATATTGCGAAGAAGATCGGCCAAAGACCTGCTGCAAAATAAAACAACCGCTCGAGTAGGCGCAAGATCTCATTAATTTTATGCCGAGCAAATTTATTTTCTGTAGTCGATTTAAAATATATTTGTTGCCAGCTGCCTTACCTACGCACTAATTATCACTCCGGTTTATCTTATAATCGCGGGTAGGCGTTCTTTCGCAATAATTATAAAATGTACAGTTTAATTATATAGACTGGGAAATAAACTGTGACATTAATCGTGATGGTAAAAGGATCAAAAAGGTCTTGAAAAGATGGAATGTTTAACTTTGAAATAGAAACAAAGTGATACAGTGAATTAGTATATTATTGACAAATACAAAAAGATTTATCAATATAAATATAAAGAAAAATCACAGCCTAGTAATTGATTCAAACATGGGCCTTTTTAGTACAGTAGTAATATAGCATAATGATAAAATGTCTTTCAGGAGTTATATTACAGGCTTTTTTACCTGCAAGGAGTTTATAATAAAAACTCCAATTCTATGTGTCATTCTCATATAGTGAACCTGAGACATTCCCAGAGAATTATACAATTTTGATGTGAAGTGATCTTGTGCACGAAAAAATAAACAAACAGAAATAAATCATTTTAGTTTTGTATGGGGTTTTCTTTCCGAGTTGGTTTTTCTGATGCTTCTGGTTATAATTCTTGAGGATTTTTCTTTATGTAGTTCCTCAGATTTAGCTTCTGAAGCTTCCAATATTGATTATTGAAGCTCAAATTTTTAGGTTTCTGGTAATAATTTGAAAGTTTTCTCCATTTAGCTCCTAGTTGCTTTTTCTGAAATTTCTGGTATTCGTATTCAAGAACTTCCTTCTTAAATTTGGAAACTTTTGATGCTGGTTTTAAAAGCTCCTTTATTCAATAGATTTCCCAGAAATATCTTCTGGAATTGATTCTTTGGGATCTTTTTCTTTATTTAGTTCTAATAGTACTTTGGAAATAATGGAACAATTTTATTTCAAGAACTCATTCAAAGGCTCTCTCTCTGAATATTTGAACATTTTGAAGACCCATAACTTTTTTCTATTATAAATAGAAAGCTGAAATTTCCAGCGATTCTTATTTCAGTAGAATAGAGGACTACAATACCTGAAAATTTCAGCCATTTGGACTTATAGTTTCAGAAATAAAATAGAACAATTTAGTAAATGGGGTTTAGGGGGTCCCAACTGATTATACAAACGCAAAATCTCAACATAAAAAATCTGAAATTTCATCATTTTACTAGCTACCTCATGATTTGGATTTTCAAAAACTTTGAAGATCCATAACTTTTTTTCTATTATAGATAGAAAAATTTCAGCTCATTATGACTTATAGTTCCAGAAATAAAATCCCGTTAAGCAACTTGGGGTGAATTTATCATTTTTTCAATTCTCTGAGTGCCTTTTTTCATAGATTTCGGCTTCAAATCTCAGAATAATTTAGTGTATGGAGTTCAGGGGGTCCCAACTGATTATATAAACGCAAAGTCTCAACATGAATAAATTTGAAATTTCATCATTTTAGTAGGTACCGGGTGATTGTCTATATTTTGCACCTACACCTACTCACCTGTTTGAAGAGATACCCAGAAATGTCAAATGTGAAAGTTGTAGGTAATATCAGAAAGCTTTCAATGATGTTAGTTACAAGTATATAGGGTGTGTCACACAAGTGTCTCGAAGCAAATTTATACTTTTTTAAATGGAAAACCCCATATATTATTGTTCCAATGGATTCGCCTTTCAAACCTAATTCCAAATATACTAGGTTTTTTAGGTTTATTCCTCATAGTCCAGCGTCTGAATATCCCATTTTGAAGAAATAAAATGGATTTTTTATATGAATGATTACGTTTATATTTTGCTGGTGGTTTCTATACTTCACCTTTTTTAATAAAATATGCAATTATTCCACCCCTTCTTGTCCTATTTTCACCTGGACTATAAGGAATAAACCTAAAAACCCTAGTATATTTGGAATCAGGTTTGAAAGGCTAATCCAATGGGACAATAATATACGGGCTTTCCATTTAAAAAAGTATAACTTTGCTTCGCGACACCCTGTATACTTGTAACAAACATCATTGAAAACTTTTTGATATTAACACAACTTTCACATTTGAAAATGGGGACGTCATTTTATTTTAATTTGACACAAGTAGGTAATAAATATCTACATGTAAAAATAGTGTGTGTTATATTACATCAATTAGGCAATTTAATCCATCTGTCAAAAAGGAAAATTCAATATGGCGTGGCGGCCAAGCAAGCTTGTTTTGTATATGTTTTTATGTGTATTTTAAATTATTTTGCTAAGAGTTTTGCTTGTAACTTTGATTTTGAATATTTAATACGATATTTGTTGACTAGATGCCTAAACTATAAAATCGGGCAGAAACTAGATATTTTTTTGTGTTTTTTGGCCCATGTGTGGCCGCCACGCCATCTTGAATGTCACGTGGTTTGAATTGCCTAATAGTAGAATAAGTACAAACGTGTACGTCACAACTAGATGCTACGAAATTAACAGTTTACATAAAAAACATCAACATTTTCTAGACAATACTAAGGCTTTTCTAATTAACCAATTTAATTCAAATTTCCACAGACAAAGCATTAGAGAAGTGCCCTATCTTTTTATTTTTTCAAAATTCCAAAAAATAAACGTGTAATAATTTTTTGAACTTGGGTGATTTTTTATTGACTTTGAACATGTCAATTCAGGTTCAAATATCAATTTATGAAAAAACTAAAAAGATAGTGCCCTTGAGAATGTGTTTGTGGTGATTTTTTATTGACTTTGAACATGTTAATTCAGGTTCAAATATCAATTTATGAAAAAACTAAAAAGATAGTGCCCTTGAGAATGTGTTTTTGTGTGACATAAATTTTTTTCAATAATTTTGGACACATGGTTTAGTCACAGTTTATTCCCGAAAATTGACCAAATTCATACCTTTTCTCAAAGGAAAGAATCCCCTTAACGAGCCACCCATTTAGACCGTGCATTCTAAAGTCATACATACAGGTTAAGCGCAGATTCACAATTACCTGCTATGTACTCAGTTGTTCATAGTTGACCTGTCACCAAGCATAGGTCTCACAAACTATTACAAAAGTGTTACTAAGCATATATTCTAGCCTGACACGGAGCATAGGCGGTTAAATACCGGGCCCACAGTATAGGTACACGACTTGACACAAAACATAGGTCTCAGACAAACCTGACACAAAGCATAGGTTCAATGAGTATTTACCTGGCACACAGCATATTATCCGTTCACAATCCGATGTCCACAGGTACAGGTAAAATTTATCACCTTTCAATGCTATTTGATAGGGAAAGGTGATAAATTTACCTGCACCTGTGGACATCGGATTGTGAACAGGATTTTTTTTAATAAATACACGACCTGACACAAAGCATAGGTTTCACACGAACCATGGGTTTGTTAAGTACCTGACACACAGCATAGGTACGCGACCTGACACAAAGCATAGGCCTCACAAATACCTGCGAGAGCATAGGCAATAATCATGTTCCAAAAAATAATAGGTACTTATTATTATAAGTAATTCACAAGGAAAAAAAAGACGACAATAAATAATCCTTACAAGTCGACACCGACACCACGAGAATCAATCCTCTACCCCGTTTGTATTCCAAACCTTTCCTTTGTTCAGTTTTAATTCCTCTTTTTTGCTTGCATTCCACGAGTGATATCACTGTTACGCTTGGTGAACAAACACAATAAGTATAAAATTAAATTCTAACACCAAGGTATAGCTACCTTATGATTTAGGCTTTCAAAAACTTTGAAGGCCCATAACTTTTTTTCTATTATAGATAGAAAGCTGAAATCTTCAGCGATTCTTATCCAAACAGCTCATTTGGAGGTATAGTTTTAGAAATAAAATCGCGTTAAATAATAACCTTCTTACTAAAATGATGAAATTTCAAATTTTTTTTTGCCGAGATTTGTATCCTAATGGTCAATCAACATACCTCAAATTCCATACAGTAAATTATTCTCAGATTTGAACTATAAGTGTAAATGAGCTGAAATTTTCAGGGATTGTAACCCTTTGAAAGGGATGAAATTCAGTGAAAGTTTCAGCTTTCTATCTATAATAGAAAAACAGTTATGACCTTTCAAAGTTTTCCAAAATCTAAATCATAGGATAGGTACCTTCATACTAAAATGGAGACAGAAATAGATGTTGAGCCTGAACACAACCGTTAAAATAACAAAACAGGATACATCATAGGCCTGAATGAATAAAATTAAATTCTAACACTAAGGTATAGCTACTTTATGATTTAGGCTTTCAAAAACTTTGAAGGCACATAACTTTTTTATATTATAGATAGAAAGCTGAAATTTTCAGCGGTTCTTATCCAAATTTCAGCTCATTTGGAGGTATAGTCTCAGAAATAAAATCGCGTTAAATAATAACCTTCTTACTAAAATGATGAAATTTCAAATTTTTTTTTGTCGAGATTTGTATCCTAATGGTCAATCAACATACCTCAAAGTTTCAGCTTTCTATCTATAATAGAAAAAAAAGTTATGACCTTTCAAAGTTTTCCAAAATTTAGGTTAGGGTAGGTACCTTCTTACTAAAATGATGAAACTTATTTTTTTTTGACGAGATTTTGTATCCTAATGGTCAATCAACATACCCCAAACTCCATACACTCAATTATTCTCAGATTTGAAGCCGAAATCTATGAAAACAGGCACTCAGAGAATTGAAAAAATGATAAATTCACCCCAAGTTGCTTAACGGGATTTTATTTCTGGAACTATAAGTCATAATGAGCTGAAATTTTTCTATCTATAATAGAAAAAAAGTTATGGATCTTCAAAGTTTTTGAAAATCCAAATCATGAGGTAGCTAGTAAAATGATGAAATTTCAGATTTTTTATGTTGAGATTTTGCGTTT